TGTACAAGTGGCATATATAGCTTTTGTTAATCACCATTGATCTTAAGTCCCATAGGGTCTTTCGCACAGATGAGGAACCTCCAGCATGCCAGCTACATTCAGTTCATCAGGGTTAGCCAGTGGTGGACCACCAGATATTTTTTTTACCTGGGTGTCCATAGGCACAGAGTCCTACAGATCCCAGTGGCTGTGATTCACAGTTCCTGGACAATGTGAGCTATGGGGATCCATGCCTGCAAATACTCAGGTAAACAAACCATCTGGCAGCCCTCCAGCAACTATTCCTGATGAACCACAAATGGCCCATGGGCTAAATATTCCCCACCCCTACCAGACATTCTGCAGTTTTTGCAGCTCTCTAGTATTGACTATAGATCATGAATTGTTGATCATGAGTCAGACCAAATAAGGCAATATCATTCACATACTCAAGATTGTCTAAAGATGATCTTTGTATTTCCCACCTCCTACTTTGGCAACAATCATCTTTGTCATCTAATAGTCTATAATGTAGATGACAGAACGCATCCCTGGCATGCTCCTGAGTCTACTGAAAACCAGTCTGTAATATAATTATTTACCTTCACACAGATACGTGTACTATGGTACAATTCCTCTGTTAGGCACACTAAGACCTCGGGCACAACATACAGAAATAGCAGTGTCCACTAATTCAAAAGTGGCTAGTAATCAATTTATAAACATGATGTTAACTTCCTTTTCTTATTCTAGTCATTTTTCAGTAACATTGCACAGAATATATAGAGAGCATGGATTATAAATTGACCTTGACAGAAATCACACTGGATGTACAAATAGGAACTTCACAGTGTCAAACACACATTTCTGGTTTTGTCTTGCAAAGGTTTTCTCCATTCATTTACTCGATTGAGCCTCCAGCACATCCATTCGCATCATGCCTATTTTTTTACCCATGTTTGAAAGTGTCACCCATATTCCCAAATTACTTTTTCATTCTCTTGAGTCCCCATTTTTCTCTGACAGTCACTATGATAAAATCCCAAAATAAAGCCCCTACTTCCTGTGTATTAGACAGTTGGTCATCTAATATAGGATATTTGTCAGAAATTGCTGTCCTTGTAAATATTAGCAATTGCTTCATCATGAAGATTATCAATGTTTAAGTGTTCAGTGCAGTACGTACCGGCATCAGGAACTTTATTAAATGGAACATCATTGGTACTGTTAGGAGTTGACAATTGGACTCCAGAGCAAGAGATCAACATTCCTAAATGCACTTGCAACCTGTTTCCAAACTAGTATGACATCCAAGGTTGTATTGTCACCAAATGATCATTGAAATGTATACTTTCAGCGGTTCTTATGCTGAAACTAGGTAGCCATTAAAAAATCATTCATGTTGAGAAGCAAATTCTAATACATAAAAACAATTTTATGATCTCTCCTCCAGGAAGCCATATGGTCTGGTACTGGTTCAAATCTAGTTCTATCATGGCCAGTTCTCATGCTCAGATCTTGTGTGATGACAATATGAACTCAGGGGGGCATCCTAGAGACAACATTCTCGAACGTGGTATAAAAAGCATCTTTTCCAGCACCATGTTGAGCATAATCACTAATACTACCACTCAGCCTGCCTTCAAACTGAAAAGAGGACACAACATTTTTTATGTCTGATCCTTCCCTTCTATTTCCGGTGTATGGAGGAAATCTCATCATACAGTGTGACTCCTCTGCATGTAGGAGAAGAGTTAGATCAGGGGTAGGCAATAATTTTTTGCCAGGGATCACTTCAAACATTTTTTAAGTGGCCCTGTGCCGCACCAGAAGGGGCAGAGCCATGATGCTTCTGAGCTTCCTCACCCACAGATCATAATTGGTCTGGGGGTGGGGAAGCCCCTTTGTCCCCCCCTTCCCACTAAGCATCCATGTCCCTGGTGGTGGGAGGAGATTTCCCAGGTTCCCCCAGCTCCAGGCCAATCAGAGCCTGGGGCCAGAGAGCACGTGAAGTCTTCTCCCATCCTGCCAGGAGAGTGCAGTGCTTCTAAAGCGACGAGGAGTCCTGTGGCACCTTATAGACTAACTGAAGTGTAGGAGCATAAGCTTTCGTGGGCAAAGACCCACTTCGTCAGATGCATGCATCTGACGAAGTGGGTCTTTGCCCACGAAAGCTTATGCTCCTACACTTCAGTTAGTCTATAAGGTGCCACAGGACTCCTCGTCGCTTTTGCAGATTCAGACTAACACGGCTACCCCTCTGATGCTTGACAGTGCTTCTAAGTGCCACATGCTTCTCGCAGGGTGGGGGCAGGGCTGAAGAAACTTTGCACGCTCCCCCTGCTGCCAGGTTTCAAAGCTCCATGTGCTCCTGGCAGGGCAGAGGAAACTTCGTGAGCTTCCCCCAGCCAGCAGGCCTTAATTGGCCCGGGGGCAGGGGAGCAGCAGGGCCTCCCCGGGCTGGATCAATCCACTTGGTGGGCCAGATCCGGCCTGGGCAGGCCCTTTTGTCCAACCCTGAGTTAGATGAATCCTGAATCTTGGTTCCATTGCAAGTAATAGATGAAACTGCCAATGCGGCTAAAACAGATGAAACAGCTAAAGTTGCCTGTGCTTTTCTTCTGCATGTCAATGTTAGAGGTGTTTTACAGGAATGGCTTTTCAAGCCATTGCCTAGCCCTGTCACTTTAGGCAGGCTTGGGACCAGCACTAGGGACAAAGACAATGTAGTGTGGTTATTACAGGTATAATTGAATGTAAAATGTGACCCTCCAGCTGGACCGTAGTTAACTAGTTTGTTGATGCATGTACCAGAATAGAAACCCGGTGCAATAGAATAGTAGGCCTAAATGGAATATATGTAGCAAAAACTTAGTTTTGTCACAAAAGTAAGCCGTTATGCTTCTGACTACCCACAGGGTTGATTAAGAAGCTGTCATTTCTACATAGTCACTCTTCTGAACATAAGTACACTACAACGTCTTCAGTACAGTGTTTGTCAGCGGGAGAAAACTTCAATTAAACAAATTACTGCTATGCACAAATTAGAGCCATCAATAAGGTGAAGGATATTATTAACACTAACCAACGGACAAATGAGATTATAGTTGGAAAATATTGTGTTGTTTAACCTTACTCACTAGAAAGAGGAAAGGTAATGGGATACTTTATTACTGAAGCTAAATCCAGCTTTTTACCATCATTTAATACTACAGAGAAACATCTTCACTGTTAAAACTACCCTAAGCATTTTATTTCCAAATGTTCCCCAATCTTTGAAATGCTGTGGGAAAATATCATGCTCTGTCACAGTCCTGAAATATATACATGGATGGCTACTGAAATATTGGAGGCTGATTGGCCTAGAGTTCTTGCTTCTGTTAACACCAAACTACAATAGACTTGCACAAACATACTATTCTAATAGTGCCAATAGGGTGTTTTATTCTCCAACAAATGCAGATAAAAACAGAGCCAGAACTGCCTTCTAACTGTCCAGAATGCTCCATTAATGACAATGCGAGCATCTAGGTGCTTTGCACTTTTGAAAATGAGGCTGTTTGTGTAGGTACCTAAATGTGGATTTAGAAACCTAACTTTGAGAATTATCTTGATATTTTACATTGTGTGTCAGTATAAATGATTGTTTCTGAATATATACATGTATAGTCTACCTGATGTGTTTGGATTGTGTTGTATTTGGGGGGAATATAAAGCTCATACCAAACAAAGTACAAGGTAGAAGCTAGAGACACCTATGTTGTGAGATACAGCTGGTAACTTATTGGAATGTATGGATCTTTCTGGTCTCTTTCCAATCCTAAGATAGCCTGCTCCTTACACCATCCACATTTAGTCTTTTGAAAATGGAGCTCTTTCTATACTGTTCTTTCTAGCTGATCAGTATTGGTGTCACTAGTCTTTAGCAAATGTGATTACCAAAACTAAAACTACTGCAGGCGTTTTAGTGTCCATCAGTATATGACACCATTTTAAATGTAGTTCTGGCCAAGTCTGGTAAAGTCTCTAAACAGTGCTTTTGAATAAAAGAAGTATAGTCATTACCATCATTACACAGGTTATCCCAGGCTATAATATCACTTGGTTCCTTGCTTCCCCCCATTAGCACTTCCTTTCTTACCCCATAAAGGTCAAGCCACTGAATCTTGCCCTGACACATACTTCTGCTCTCATTTCTGCTGATATCCTCTCCTGATCCCAATGCCCTGCCCCAAATCTCTGTGTTACTCATCCCTTCATCTCTTTCTCTCATTCTAAGAAGAGTCTCCCTGTTTTCAGCCACGTCCCTCTTATCCTTCAAATCCCTGCATAAAACATGTTTTATTCTCATCATAGCAGCTTCCAAACATTGCCTCTCCTGCAGTGTTATCCTACATCTTGCTTTTCTTTTTGGTCTTGTCCTATGTAGACTATAAGATCTTTGGGACTGGATATGTGTTTTACCTATGTTCTGTAACATACAATGCAAATTTACAGTCCTAGGTAAATGTTTAGTAGTAATTAATAACCCAGCCAAATTAAAAAGCAAATGTACCTTTCAAAAGCAAAGGGTATTTAGCTTATTCTTAAGCTCAGTTGCATCCAGTTATGTATTTTGCCATACAGTACAACAAACTACTGAGCGTAGAGAACAGAGTCCTCTTTGTAAGCTGTTATTTGAAGTTCCTCTAGATAATTCTTAGTGTCGCTATATTCCTCCTTTACTAGACAAGGATCTATCATCAAAAAGATGTGTCTGCACGTCCCAGCAAGTCTATGGATTTCCATGAGGTTTGAAAGAATGAAAAAGAAATGTAGAGCCAAATCTAGAAACTGTTGACATAAGCACTAAATGAAAATGAAAATGATATGTGCACATGCAGCACATAGACATAAAGACAAATGTGTATGAAATGTTCTTGCAAATTATATTGAAAAATAATTTCTAGTTAGTTTGACTTTAAATCTGATACTTAAGAATAGCTAATGTTTTAAAAAAGATTTTGTTTTCTTTAACCCAGGTATGGTGACATGGTGCCGAAGACAATAGCTGGGAAGATTTTTGGTTCAATATGTTCCCTGAGTGGGGTCTTAGTCATTGCTCTGCCTGTTCCTGTAATTGTCTCCAACTTCAGTCGTATCTACCACCAGAACCAACGAGCAGACAAGCGCAGGGCACAAAAGGTGCGCTCTCACTTCCATCCCACACTCGTGATTTGGTGCGGAGAAGATAACAGATGGCTTTTTATATGCTGTGTGTCATCCAATGGAACATAATTTATTAATAGGAGGGCTGTTGTACATTCATGACAGCAGGGGCCCGAAGGCAAATTTATTAATTTAAAAGTACATTTCAGAAGGGTTTTATGCAGAAATTGCTCCTTTCTTCTTCTTAGTAACATCCACAGATGCACAACAATGGGTACTTTAGCCTGCTTGCAGCTTGGAGACCCAACCAGTCCTGTCAGGCACTGGAGGAAAGGAAGTGCCTTGCCTCCTGATCTTCCTTCCAGGTTTCTCTGCATCTACACTGACCAGCACTTCAGTCACATTTCCCTGCTCATCTCTCAGGACAATTCTAAATGTATTTCAAATATTTAGACTCACAATTTGGTTCTGATTCCTAGCCATGTCTCAGGTGTGTTTGCTTTTGGAGACGTTGTCCTGTCAGCTCCCCTTCCCTTTCAGAGGTGTTTTCTGCTCCAGAAAGGGCAGAGGCAAAAAAGAGGGCTATGTCTCCTGCTCTTTCTCATTAAGAGTCTCATTAAGGAATTCTGTGGAAAGAGAGACATTTCTCTGATAGTCCTGTCTGAGCAAGATCACCTTGTCCCACCCTTCCCTGGGTAGGATAGAAGCCAGGCAGGAAAGGAGATACTTACTGATAGGTATACTGGGTCAGACCAGTCCATCTAGGCCAATATTCTATCTTCCAATAGTGGCCAGGCCAGATGCTTCAGAAGGAATTAACAGAACAGGACAATCAGGACAACTGATGTATCCCACATTATCCAATCCCAACTTCTGGAAGTCAAAAGTTTAGGGACACACAGAGCATATTCCTGACCACCTTGGCTAATAGCCATTGATGGACCTACCCTCCATGAACTTACCTAATTCTTTGTAGAACACAGTTATCCTTTTGGTCTTGACAACATCTGGCAATGAACTCCACAGACTGTGTGTTGTGTGAAGAAGTACTTCATTATGTTTGTTTCAAACTTCTTGCCTATTAATTTCATTGGGTGACCCTTGATTCTTGTGTTTTATGAACAGGTAAACAACACTTCCCACTAATTTCTCTATACCATTCATGACTTTATAGGTCTCTATCAAATCCCCGCTTAGTTATCTTCTTTCTAAACTGAATAATCCCCGTGTTTTTAATCTCTCCTCATATAAAAGCTATTCCAAATACCCAGTATTTTTGTTGCCCTTCTTTATACCTCTTCTGTTTTTAATATTTCTTTTTATAAATGGGGCTACCAGAATTGAATGCAATATTCAAGATGTGGGTATATCTTGGATTTATATAGTGGCACTATTATATTTTCTGTCTTATTATTTATCCCTTTCCTAATGGTTTCTAACGTTTTCTTTACTTCTGTGACTGCTGCTGAGCATTGAGTGGATGTTTTCAGAGAACTATCAACAGTGACTCCAAGTCTCTTTCTTGAGTGGTAATAACTAATTTAGACTTTGCCACACACACACATGTTATATGTATAGTTGGGATTATGTTCTCCAATATGCATTACTTGGCATTTATTATCATTGACTTTCATCTGCCATTTTGTTCCCTGTTCACCCTGTTTTGTGAGAATTTTATAATTCTCTGCAGTCAGTTTAGACTTAATTGACTTGAGTAATTTAGTATCATCTACAAACTTTTCCAAATCATTTATCAATATTTTGACCAGCACAAGTTCCTGCACAGACTTTGGGAGACACTAATATTTATCACTTGACATTGTGAAAACAGGTCATTTTGTTTCTTTTCTTTTAACTTACACATGAAAGGAATTTGCTTAAGATCCTGTGGTGAGAGAGCTTGTCAAAGGCTTGTGGAAGTCCAACCTCTGGTGAGGAAGCTTGTCAAAGGCTCTGTTAACACTATAACAACTGGATCACTTTTGTCCACATGCTTATTGTGACAACTCACAGGGGCAGGACCCAACAGGGTTGTCGATTTGCTTTGAGAAAGAGTCGATTAGGGATAGTTGCTTTTATTAATTACTCTAAGTCACTACTATTACAGGCTTAATACTAACAAATAATTACACAGCTACTGTAAAATAATACAAATAAGCATAGGTAGAGTAGCAGACACTTAGAAATGTTTACAACCGTTTAGTCTGCGGGGTGCTCCATTCCAGTCTCCTCGTACCAGGCTTCAGTGGATGTGGCTCCAGCTGGGGGATCCAGGACAATCTCCGAGGTTGAGGTCCCTGGTGGAACTCCCAGAGGGGTGAGACTCCCAGGGTGTGTCTAGACTACAGGGTTTTGTCGACAAAAGTGGACTTTTGTCGACAAAACTATACCTGCGTCCACACTACCTCTGAGTTCTGTCGACATAACGTCGACAGAACTCAGCAGTTTTGTCTACGCTGGTAAACCTCATTTTATGAGGCATAACGCCTTCTGTCGACAGAGTTTCTGTTGACCGAAGGTGTTATTGCATGTAAACTATCCTTTGCGTCCACACTACCATGTCGACAAAGCAGCTTGCTTTGTCGACAGAACTCAATGTAGTCTAGACGCTCTTTGTCGACAGAAGTTTTGTCGACAGTATCTGAGACGTACCCCCAGTGATCTTAAACCTTAGCTGTTTATCAAGTGTGTGTGAGTCGGTCCAATGCCACTCTCAACGTTCCCATGGGGCACCAAGGTCATATTCTTCATCCCATACTTGTCTCTCAGCTAGCAAACAAGGGGAGTTGGAGCTGTTGAAAGCCATCTGATAAAGAACACCTCATGTTTTCACCAGCAGGGCTTATAGCTGGCCTAGAGGAATACAAGTTTAACCCCTGCAGGCCTACATATGGCTTTTATGTGACATTGATACCCTCAAAGAATTCTAATAGATTGGTGAGGCATGATTTCCTTTTACAAAAAACATGTTGACTCTTCCCCAACATATTGTCTTCATGTAGCTATTCATGTTGATAATTCTGTTCTTTACCATAATTTCAAACCTGTTTTCCTGTTTCTGAAGTTAGACTTGCCAGCCTGTAATTGTCAAGATTGCCTCTTAAACCTTTTTTTAAAATCAACATTACATTAGCTGGTCTTCAGTCATCTGGTGTAGAGATTGATTTAAGTGATGCATTACAATTTGTTCTAAAATCGCCCCTGCTGACATCTCAGTCTGGGACAGGTCCTCAAATGTATCATTTTAAAAAAATGTCTCTCATTTGGGAATCTCCCTCCCATGATCCGCAGTGAAGATGAATATAAAGAATTCATGTAAATACCCCACAGCAGGCTTGTCTTCCTTTACTGCTCCTTTATCACTTTGACTATCCAGTGACCCAACTGATTGTTTGGCAGGCTTTAATTTAAAAATGCTGCGGTTAGTTTTTGTGTCTTCTGCTCATGGCTCTTCAAATTCTCTTTTAGTCTGCCTTCCAGAATTTATGTTCCTTTCTCTTTTCCTCAATAGGATTTTACTTTCAGTTTTTATAGGATACCATTTGTTACCTCTTTTACTTTGCTTTTAGCCATAATGACTTTTTTTTGTCCTCTTAGCATTTTTTTGATTGGGGTGTCTACGCATTTCCTTGGAGTCTCATTCTGCTCCTTATAGCACTATCCAGACTGAACATCTATAGGAATAGTCTATGGGCAGTGGATGAGTGCCCTTCTGGAAAAGGCAAGCCCTAGCCCCACCCTTCCACCTGAGGCCCTGCCCATCTTCAACCCTCTCTGGAGTTAAGACCACTCTAGTGCAGCAGCTGTTCCCCATCCCAGGCTACTGCTCCAAGTTCCAAGGAACCACCCACGCTTCCAAGCCTTCCCCTTTCAACAGGTGTCATGGTACATTCCTTCCTGTCCAGCCAGAGCACTGATCAATCAGGCATCCATTCCATGGCCCCAGCCTTCCCAGACAGCTGGGGTGTTAGCAGTTTGGGAAGGCAATGCCTTTCCTTGCCTATGTTACCCACTGCCCATGGAGGAATCACTATAATTCCTATCCATTAAGGTATGTTTCTCAGTGGCTCTGTTCTCCAATCAGATGAGATTATTTTAAATGGGAGCTTTCTCTAACATGATCTATTACTGTATTTTTTGGTAATCCTCTCGTGACTGTCATAACATTCACTCCAGACATAAATTCAGTAGCTTTTCTTCCTTTTGGTTTAGCATCAAAATCCAGTCCTGAAGATCACTGACAGGCTGAGGGTGCAGCACCCATATTTCCTGCACTGAGATATATTACATGTCTACCTGGCCATCAATACCTAAATTCTCCAAATTCTGTGTATTGGTCATCCAATCATAATCAATGCTATTTCCTTACTTTGGGCAGTAGTTTCTTCCATGTTTTAGAATGGAAAGGTGGAAGAGATATTTATATATAATCTATTCCATTGTTATGTGTGCGTTAAAAAATTATCCTGGTTCCCTCCCTGAATGCACTCTGCTATTAAAATCCCATTGTTCCAGATCTATGGACCACAGTATGAATAAAAACAGTAAAATGTATCCGTGCCTATGTGAAAATGTTCTGTCTTCAAGTAATAAGGACCATGGATATGACCCATCCTTGAGACAAATGTATCATTTAGAATGCAGCTGAATATTGACATCCAAAGACTTGGGCAGAATCTATCATTTTCTGCAGGAGAAGAAATTGTTTTGCTTTTTCTTCAGAGTGTATTTACCACACTCTGCAATTTAGGAAAGTAGTTTGGAATTATCCTGGCTGGGAAATGTAACTGGAGGGAACTTCATCAGCTGGGACATTCCTCTGCTACCCAGGTGTGGTTCTACCCCCGAGCTGAAAGCAAGCTGAAGTATCCATTGTACCCCATCTGTAGACTTTATTACCTAAAGCCTTTTAGCCTTTTAGTTAGGCTCAAGTTTACCTGTTCTGTATTTTCGTGGTATCCTGGGTTGAATGTTAACCTTCTTTTATAATAATCGTATACACTTCTTTTTTCAGTAGACTCAGTGTTTCTCCCTAT